AAAAACTCGAATCCGCTGCTAACTTCATCTACATTGAATAACTGGATCATTTGGAAAACGATATAAAGCAGTGCGTAGTGCATTGACATCATGATAGCCAAAATGTTCTACTACATGTTGTTGAATGAGATTGTGAACGAAACTACAAATTCTGAACACTCAATATATATATTATAATGAAATAAAAAAGTAAAACTTACGTAACAGCAACCTCATCAGTATGGTACTGATCCATAATTTCTTGAATTGAATTCGACAACCGAAGACGTGTCTCATATATGATCATTTCACGAACTGTTTCAATCGATGGTAGCTCCGTGGTCAGTTTGACTATATCAAAACCCAGATGACCCGATGTTGGAAAAAACATACGAGGATCCATATCTCGTTCACGTTGAGGTCGGCGTGGTGGTGGTGGGTCATAACGTGGCAATGGCGGAAGAGAATTTGGAATTACTGATCGATCATTGGTGTTTGGTGGTAGTCCTTCGTTAGCTATTGCCATAGTTGTTTTCTCCGCAAGTTCAGCATAACGCTTTTTAAGCGTATCTTCATGTGATGCTGTGGAGACATCCATTCTTCGATGGTGTTTATATGCAAATGTAAGATAAAACAAAAAAGAACTATTTTTTATCTAGCATATGCATCAGCAATAAGAAGAAAGATAAAGGTTGCGACAGGATGAGAAAGAAAAAAAATCCTGTTCTTGCATCATCTTATTGCAATATTTGCTCGATTCGTCTTGAGCATGTGAGTAGAAAGATAACATTAACAGGAATTCACAGAAAAGTAATCATCTTGATGATGTGGATGAGGGTGCCGGTGTGAATGTGTGTTTAGTAATTACCTATTCGCATCCCTATACTCACACTCTAATTCTGTTAAAATCTTGAGGATGTGGGTCTGGGTGTGTGTGTTCGTATGAATGCGTGTATGAGTTGGGTACTAGTAATTAGGTATGGGTGGGTGGACGTGGGTGAAAGTAAAGAGATCATACCCATATCCACATCCACACGCTCACACACTGACACCCGCACCCATCGCAAATAAAATGAATCGAGATTCTATATTTCATGTAGGAAAAGAAGAAGATAAAGGAGCGTTGATATAAGATCATTCCTTAGTACATTCATTAAGAATAAATAGAATTTATAATTTTTAAATATGATACTATGTGTTGATAATACATTTTGCTTGTATTCTGCTAAAAAAATGTGACAATGATCGCATTATTTGCAGAGCAAACCATAAGTGGAGTATATGACTAATTCTTAATCTGTCGATTCCTTATCACGTCTTGATATTTTCAAAACTAGTGAAACAACAAGTCAAGAACGATAGATCATAAATCGAATAATATTCTGTGCAAAATAAAATAAAAGATATAATAATATTTGAATATCTTCAGTTCATTTGTTACTGTACTTGTAAATGACTGATAATGTAAAGATATTGACCATTCAGAATAATCACTACTGTTCATCATTATACATGATGTTATTTATTGTTGTCCAACTTTACTCGGAATTGCTGATATGTCTTGAAAATTCATATTTTATTTACATAAATGAAGACTAAGAAACTGAATATCAATAAAATCTGATACAGTGAATGCACTTATTAGACAATCATGGTACATATCATTCATAATTTCTTCTTTCGTACTATTCTTTAAAGAGATGACAATAAGAGGCTAAAAATAGACTTGTTAGTACTGAAATGCAATAAAGACTGAAGAAAAAACTTTTTATTCTCTTATAAAGATCATTAATAGGATATAACTAGCAAAACTAGTTATGGAAACTCTGATGGTTAATACACTTAAATAAACAAATTTTCCGGAAAAATTCTTATTGCAACATATTGAATTTATTTGTATATAATTCAAAAGAATGTCACGTGTTTCATCGAATGACTAGAAAAACTTTTTCTATAAATTAGAACTATATTTAAAAAAGTAGATTAATTGAATTCATTCACTACTCATGATAAGAATAACATCAAAGTAAATCATTAATTATAATTCTCTCTTTGTCACATGATGTTGAACATTTTTTTAGTTTCAGTTAGTTTTTATAATTCATCATTTGAATTTTTTCTCAATTATAAAAGTATTAATAATGTCATTGACATACATTGGTCAACAATTTACTATCTATGGTGGTATGTTCTTTTTAATTGGAGGTCTCATTGGTAATAGTACGAATATATTAGTATTTTCAAATGTACGTACTTATCGTCGAACTCCCTGTACATTCTATTTTCTTACTGCTTCTATAGCTAATATCATTTATATGTCATTTAATTCTACTACTCGTATTTATGGTAGTATTTATGGTATTGATTTTACAAGTATATCAACAAATTGGTGTAAAATACGACAATTTTTGATTATGATTTTTAGTATGATTACTTTGACATGTTCATGTTTGGCTACAATTGATCAATTTTTAGCAACATCAAAAAATATTCGTCTTCGACGACTTAGTAATATCAAATGGAGTCATCGAATTGTATTCATTATTATTATTCTTTGGTTTCTTCATGCAATTCCTTCTCTTTTCTTCTTTGATATCTCATTAGCTACTAAAAAATGTGGAGCCATTCATCCTGTTTATGCTGTTTATAATCGTATATATCTTCTTGGTTTATTATGCCTTATTCCAATGACAATAACGATCATATTTGGATGTTTAACTTATAGAAATATTCGTATGACAAGAGGTCTAATTGAACAAAATGTTGATCGTCAATTAGCAAAAATGACTTTATTTCAAGTGATTCTCATTATTTTTAGTCTTACTCCATATAGTATTAACAGTATTTATGGTTTAGTAACAGAGAATTTTATTAAAGATACAAATCAACTAACAAAAGAAAACTTTATTACAACCATCGTTACTGTGATAACGTATTCTTATTATTCTGTATGTTTATTGATTTATTATTATAATATAATTGAGATTTTGTTTTTCAGGGAACTTGTTACATATTTTGGTTTTCATCAGATCAATTTCGACGAAAAGTAAAACGTCAAATACTTTTTTGGCGAAGAGTTAATCACATAACACCATCCGTTGCTCGATAATCAAAAATAATGAGACTAAAAAAAGAAAGAAATTATTTATACAAAAATTTTATGTCGGTACTTGTGCGTCGTTTCTTCTTTGATGTGCTCCAATTAATTTCACGTTTAAATATAATTTGATGTTGTCATGTGAATGAATATTTGTATTGAATCTAATCCATATCTAGTATGTAAGAAAATCGTTGGTTTTTTAATGAATTTTCTTTTTCACTCATCATTATTGAAGCAGTTCACAATGATCATAAAATCTTTATTGATAATATCGTATAGAAAAAGTACAGTCATTTTTGTTAGGTCGATAGAAAACTACCATTAAAACTTTTGCAAATGATATTTTATCTTCCTGGTGAAAACTAATGTTTTTACTTGTTAGATTTTCATTTTAATTGCATTACAGAAGTTTAACATAGATATCATTCTCAGATTTGGGTGTGAGTGGATGAAATGAGTTACAGGAATAATCCAGACTACATCCACGCACCCCCCTCAAGATGGAGGATCTCAACTATAGAAACAGAAGATCGATATGATATTCTTATATTTGTATTTAAATCAGTGTAAGTTTTATGTGTAGGTACTTACAGAAAAACAGCTTTCAATAGATTTCTTAAGACTTCATATAAAATAAACGATTATTATTCATTACGTGTTATTAATTGATTTTTGTATATTTATTATTGTCAAATACATGAGAAGAAAAATAATCATTTATGTTGTTTTAAATTAGTCTAAGATGAAAATAATATATGCATTAAAAAGTTATTCAATTTTTATAACAAAAAAAAGACTGTTATCTTAATTGCTATTGAAATTTATATAAATATAGAGACAGAAATAAAAATAGTATCGTTTGTTGTAATTAAGTATTTTAATTTTTTTTGATTCTAATCAACTTTTGCTCATTCTATAGATTTGTTGATAATAATATCAATCTATATGAATTTATACACTGAAATAAATATTTTATTTTTGAGATCGGTAATGATACTAAACAAAGGTTTTCATGAACCCTTTCCGTATGAAACATGGGTGCGCCTCTATTCTAAGTAAAAACATGAGATCTTTTGATCGAGCCGTAGTGGAAATATTCAATTTTCTGTCGGGTGTGTGACTTTTGAACCATTCTGTATTTGTTGGTATTCAGTTTTCAACGGCAGACATGTTAATATAGAAAACATGCATTTCTTGCAGCTTTCAATTCGAACTAAGTAAAGTAGATATATTTGATTAAATGACTTTTTGTACATCATAGGTATATCCCTACTCACACCCACACCCCCAACAAAACGAAATGCTCAGGTAATTATAGTTAGAATCAATCGAACACATCGAAATCGTCCAATATACTAGATTCATCGGAAGTGAGCTGTTGTCTTGATAGATCTCCATGTAACATGATAAATCGGTTCATGGTTGTGTTAATTGGCCACACTAAATTGTAATTGAGCTCTTGATCAGTGATGAGACGTGCACAGAGACATTTTAGTCGTGGCACTCTTTGTTTTGACTGTAACAGAGAGCAAATTTCTGGTAAGATAGCTACATCAACTGGCGTACTATAGTAGCTATTGAAGCAATCGATATGAGCTCCAGCACTGATCAGGAGCTCGATGATCGCTGTTGCGTTTATACCAGTACTACTACGAGCGATTCGATGTAGAGCTGTATCATTACGAATACTATCTACAGCATCCAAATCAATCCATCGGGATCCGCAGTATAGAAGAAGTCGAACCACTTGCGTATTAGGAAAACTAAATAAGTAAATATTTCAGAAGACAAAGAGGTTTTCTACTTTCATGTAATGAAGCCCCTATTTTGTTCTGGTCGATAACTTACATAAGAACGGATTGAATATCTTCCATCTGGAATTTGATATAGTTGTAGGTTTCGTCGCTGACACTAAGATGAAGCAGCGTTTCAGTAGTATTTTCTTTGAGTGATAGTTCACGACATAGATCTTGAATACACTGAAAAATCAAGCGACGCTCGGTACTATTAATAGTATCTTGTTCGATAATCTATTAACAAAGAAAAGCAAAAGGATGAGTCATTATATAGTCCTAAGTAATCATATCGGAAAATCGTGATGATGAATTATGTGAACTCATTCTCTTCCGTAGTTTGTATCTGTGACAAATTAACAATGTAACGGAAAGTATTTCTTCGTCCGATCATATCAATCTTATGTTACCTTTGCCGCAATTGCTACAAGACATACTGCGGTTGCTAAATATTCACAAGTAAGTTGTTTTTGCGGCGAATAAGTGATAAGATGAACTACTTCTAAAAATTGATCAACAGGAATAAATGTTCCAGCAGCGAGCATTTGACAGAAAAGCCAGACAAAATTTTGATGATCATTATTCAATTCCATTCGTTGATACAGATGAAAAGTGTGAAGCCAGAGTTGATAGCATTGATCAAATTCATCTTGTTCAACAAGTATGGTACCTCGTTGTACTAGTGGTGGAAACAATGTTTCGTCATTTTTTGGTAAAAGAATACGTTCTCGAATGAGTAATGCTTCAATATACAAACGATCAATATTATTTTGTTGAATCTGATCAAATTCATCTATTGATTGACATTCTGTTTGAAACTCATAGGCTGCAATCGGTTGAGCAACTTCTTTTGGGATATTAAGTAAGAGACGTTTTATGAGTGAGTGTTGTAATAAATTGCGCATTCGAGCGGACTGTTCATCTTCATCCCAGAGTGAAATTGAGACCATATACGAAGCAGCCAACAATTCGAGCTCATTGAAAGTAGCTTCATCGTTATTATATTCCAGTAAAAAATCAACGATATGAAGATGATTATTTTCAACTGCTAATCTCAATATTGTTTTTCCATTTGAATCTTCGGTTTTCGGACAGAGACCTGCACTGCATAGAACTCGAACACACTCATAATGACCATTTTCAGCAGCTCGATGTAAAGCACTACTCACACAAACACCTGATCTGATATCTTTTTCATTACCTTTCGAAAGAAAATAAATTACAATATTTGTGTGACCCAAACTAGCAGCCAAGTCAAGATAATAATTATAAGAGCTATTAGTTGTTCCTGGTGTTTTCGTTGTGACATAACCTTTTCCATCTAAATACTGCAACACATCAAGTCGGTCTGTCTCAATAAAATAATCCCACGCTAAATTATGCACACCATAGAATATATTAGCCTTGCCATTATCGATCAAAATAGATGCCAACTCAAAATATCCTCGATCTAAGGCACACCATAATGCAGTAACATCATTCCTTAAATCTCCATGGATATCGTATACATTTCCTCTAAGTTCCACTTGTCCCGGACTTGAATCCCAAGAAAGTAATTTGTGTACGACATTTGTGCGTCTATAAAAAGCTGCAAGCATGAGTATACTTACTTTTCCTTCGTTGTGCTCTTCTACTACTTGAAGAGCTAATCTGATGTAAGACATTCTATTCAAAGCAGCAGAGAGTTCAACAGGGTCATTCCATCGAATCATTTCGCACAATTCATAAGGAATAAAGTAGTCGTCTTTCATGTCTAACCAGCAACTTATTCACTCAAAAATATTTTAACGAATGTTGCACTGTGAAATATAAATATAAACTTGGTTTTTACCCACAAAAGAAATGTGACTACATCATTTCATCAGAAGTATGACTATGTACACATAATGATTCATAACTCATGTGAAAAAAACAGAAGTTCGTAGATGTCAGCGTTTGTTGACGAAACAAAAGTGTGATGCAATCCGCCAATTCACTAAAAATTTACTTTGATTATGTCATATATAAATATGATTAGACTGAACTGAAAAGAAAAAAAAAAGAAGAGTAGCAGCGAGTAGTTTCGATCTACCGACCTCTGAGTTATGAGCCCAGCACGCTTCCACTGCGCCACGCTGCTGATATTCTTTTTCTTATTTAAGTAAATCTGTTGAATGACATATAAAATCGTGTACTCCACCGATTGTACAATTTATCTGATAAAATTCATGCAAAAAAAAAGACACCAATTTTTCGTTTTCACTGTTCGAAAAAAATGTGTTACCTGTAAAAAAAAAAGAATATTACTCCGCGGCGGGGAATCGAACCCCGGTTTCCCGCGTGACAGGCGGGGATACTAACCACTATACTACCGCGGACATGATTATTATGCTACAGACATCTAGCGAAGAAAAAATATCAATGTGCTCTATTTCTTTTAATCAATTTGAACATAAACTTCTCTATAGTATTAGATACATCAGTCCGTCATTATAAACATGATATTGAAGTTTTTTTTTAAATAAGAATATTCACAAATACCGCAAAAAATATAATAGCTATGTCTGAAGTATTTATTAGAAAAAATTTCTAACAAGTAATTTTTATACATTATTTCATCATTCGCATAGTTTCTACACACAGATTAGTATTTAGTTTAACAACAACGTATGTTCAATACGACTTAAGGGAAGATAAAACCACACCCACACCCTTATTTATATACAAATTTTATTTAATTCTTTTTTTCCAACATTCATGAATTAATCATATACAGTTAGCTGTCTTTCTATTGAAAATTTTCTGCTAACACAAATATATAAAAATGTGATTTCGAAAATAAACAAAATTAAGTTTATCTATATTGTACAATACGAAATGTATATCAAAATAAATTTCTTTTTGTCACTTTTTAAAAAGCATCGATCATCACTAATTTAGCATTATCAGCGTTTTGTGACAAATTACAGTTAGTTTTTGAAAAACAATTCTTGAATCTTTAACTTCAAAATTCGTTCATTATAGTTTGTTGGTATAAATATAATTGATCGATACTTTTTCTGCATACGATTCCATAGTCAATGACTAAACAGTAGTGTACAGCAGCTATTATCAAATTGATAATTGCTAATTTTTTTTGTCAAGATCTGACAAACACACTACACTCTGTATTTTATTACTGCTTGACTCTTGTTTTGCTTCAAGACAACATTGTATTGTTATCAATTATTTCGCACCAATTTCATAATGAGATGCAGTAATGAGCATCGAAAATATGAATCTTATTATAAAAGTGATTATTAATGGCAATAAATACTTTGCTTCCATCGAAATAAAAAATAACAGACCATCCTCTCCACGTCATTTGATGTAAGAATAATTTTATGGTGATGTTTATATAAAAAACATATATTCACACCCCCCTATCTCTTTCTTTCGCATCAAAATAAACAGTAAGCCAATGACAAAATCTTCTCTGTATAAGTCCCTATCGAAAATCATGTATCCTTCATTCATATTTTCCAACTCTCATATACGTTCAGGTAAAATATTCTATATAATTATACAAATGTTTATATATGTATTTTATTGTTTAGTTTCTGCAAAGAATGCAATCCTCAATCATTGCTTTCATTCTTATTGGTATTGTGATCATAAGCCAAACTAATGCAATGAGTAGTTACAATGACAAGGATTTTGAAGAAGAACTCGCGGAACCTTTCTCAAGCATGAAACGAGCAGCTACTCACAAGAGTATGTCAACTCTCATAATTTTAAAAAAGATATAATTAATGTTTTGAATGCAATAATTCTTAATTTCATAGTTCATAATACAATTCATCTTTTCTATTTCGCAGTCACGCAGCACAAGTATACTCACCAGCAGCATGTGCTGCATTATGTGAGCAATATCCAGATTGTATTGTATGGATATTCAATGTCAACAATGGTAATTGCTATGCAAACAATAAAATAAATGCTAGTACCCATTCATCCACGAGACTTACAGAAAAATGCAAGAAGTCATCAAAATACGATAATTCCGGTAATTGATTTTCGATGAAGAAAAGACTTTCATAGAAAACAAAACATTTACTCATTTTTTTTTCTTATTATTATATTACTATCATTAGACAGTAATCTTATAAATTTGTTTTTTCAACGTTTAATACATTATAAGCATTTTTGTTTAAGAATTATTTATCTAAACAAAATAAATATCAAAATCGATCTAGGACCATTTTTTTAATACTGATGATTGTTTATGAATGAAATATTGAAATAGATCACGAAGAGTATTTTGATGTTTTTTTCTTAATTTATTTATCTGAAAGAAGTTTGTGATGAAAATAAATCATGAATAGTTGCAAAATAATTGAAAAAATCCTTTGAGAATATATCTTTGTCGACATTACTTTTGCATTATCAGTTAATCAACATAAAAATGTATTTTATATTTATAAATCTTTAGTGTAAATTCATACTTTAGAATTGTTTGTTTCATCATCTATACTTTTATTTATTATTTTGAGATTATAAGGTTATACATTCATATTCTTTTACATATCTCTATAACTATTTGAAATGTTTTTGATTACAACAATAATACTTTATAATTCACATTAATATATTAAATAAAATTTTAATCAATAAATGGAAACTATTCTTAGTTCTAAGGCTATGTCAATGAAACTATTTGAAAATGAATTAATATAATAAAGTATTTGACATAAAAAAATAATGTAAAATAAGCGCTAGTGTGCAAGAATGAAGTACGATTATTCAATCATTTACTTTCTACAGCTTTTTTTATATCTTTACATTAAAAGTTTTTGAACCTAATCGTACGGAACTTTGTAGAGAATTTCATGTGTCGTTTTTTGATAAAAAAAAATGCTTAAATTAAGAAGAAATCTTAAAAATACTACAATGTCTATTATTTTTGAAATATGCATTAGAATGTCAGGGTCTATCAACTGAATGATAGTTAGAGTGTATATTAGTTTCAGTTTAATGAAAAATCCTATTTCTTTAGAGGATCTAAGTAGTATTGACAGAATTCTTGCTCCTTGTAGTTCTGTTTTCCCTGAATAAATTCATTTCAAACAAATTAGAGTTTTCAGAGAATAGTATTCGAGAAGGACAATATTTTGTCGGTAGTCTTTACATGTGACAACTATGTTGGAAAGATTTTTTTTTGATAAGACATGTGCTTGTACTGATAAAAATGTAACAATAAAAGACGAAGTAAAGAACGACAGTTTTTATTCGTATTACTGTTGATAAAAAGAAGTATGTATCATTTTAATATTTTACTGAGAATAGGAGTCTTACGCAGACAGAATAAAAATGTAATGTCTATCAAATCATTGACAGATTTCTATATGGAGACGAACTTTTATAGAACCGTTACATTATTAATCTTGAGGTTATTTAATATTGCAATCATGACGCTACAGTATCATACGAGACATAGTATTTAATTAATAGTGCTTAACAAGTTTCGTTCAGTCCTTCTAAATACGCAATCTAATGGTGATAATGAATTCTTTTTTTTTATGTCTGTATTCTCTTAAATTTAAACTCCGATTTTTCTTAGTATAAAGTCCTTGTCTATATGTCAGCATACGAATATTTTAGGCATATAGATCTTAGTATGAGTCTAATTCTGTTCCGAATGCAAGGAGTTAGAACTTACGAAAATATTTGATGTAAATTCTCTATAAAACAACATGTCATCTTGATTAATGAGTAGAATCAGATTTGAAATCAGTTTTTGTGTAAGAACTTGCAACTAACGTCCACCGCACGAAATTTAACTGATTATGTAGTTAACAATGTATGATTAATAAGAGTTTTCAAACATTGGATTGTACAATCACACTATGTTTAACTCAGGGGTAGCTAAAAAAACGTTTTATTGATATTTCTTTTATTTTGTCGTCACTACAGTGGTGATCGTTATCTAAAGACATAGGAGCACAAGAGATCTTGAACACTATTGCGTTTGTCATATGTGTATAGATTATTTTCCTGAGAAACGCTTCGTTACTATTGGAAAAAGCCTTTGATATCTGTAAAATATTGATATTATTTGTCAGATTTTACTTAAAGACTTTTCTAGATAGTGAAGAATGTCGCTTCCGCTGAATCCTTTAACAATTATTAAGCTCATTCAATATGGCAAGGAAAGGGTCGAAACTGTTACATCGAACAAAGAAGCTTGTGCTCTTCTAGTGGATGATTTGGACATTATTCAGGGTATATTAAATGGTCTTGGTCCGGAAGAAAAAACGTCAGCAGATAACTACAAATTATCACGAGTTATGAAGAAACTTCATCGCATAACAACTCGTACAAACGCATTATTTGATAAGTATGTTTATATCAGTATTACAGTAGAGATTCATTTTTCATTTGACTACTCTTAGCATATATCTAATGAAGTCTTGTTCAATCAGATAAATGTCATCGATCAGTCTTTCAATCGTGATAGATATGTTTCACATTGAAAAATTATTGTCATGCGCTTGATAGTGACAGTTTTAAAATATTTATGTATTTAATGCAACTTTTACTTGCATCCTTTTACCTTGTCGAATACAGTTCTTGTCATATATCTTTTATTTAAAATACAACACCATAAACTAAATCATTTTCTCTAAAATAGCTCAAGCTAATCTGATTATTAATATTTTAATTGACTGCTTTTGATATATCTCTTACATTAAAT